GTGTATAATTGCTGTGACTGGATGATGCTGGATTGAAACAGGCTGTGTATTCAGTTGTATATAGACCCCTGATGTCTGACAATAGGGCGGTTCCTGCTGCCTTGGTTGCCCGCTACTTTTGGGTTCTCCCGGAGGAGTTCCCTTTGAGTTCTCAAAGGAGCCCTTGAGGGCTGGGAGAGTTCGGGCAATAAAGTAGTTTCTGTTTGAACCTATAAGTGCCTCATGGCGGCTTGGTTATTTTGTGCCCAGCCAGACTGCAGCAGTATAGAGCCAGGTGTAGTATGTAATGTACATCAATTACATCAATTTAAAATTAAAATAAAAGGAACTGAGCCAGGCATGGTGGCACACACCTGTAATCCTAGTAACTCAGGAGGCTGAAGCAGAAGGATTGAAAATTCAAGGCCAGCCTAAGCAATTTAGGGAGGCCATAAGCAATTTCAGGAGACCCTGTCACAAAATAAAAAATAAAAAGGGCTGGGGATGTGGCTCAGTGGTTAAGCCCCTCTGGGTTCAATCCCTGGTACCAAATGAACAACCAAAAACTAATGTATAGAGGAAAAAATCAGGACATTGGTTGTGATAGATGGGATTCAGTAATGAGTGGGAAAGAACAAGAGGAAACATGGGTCATGCAAGTGCTTTGTACCTTTATAAAAGTTTGAATCAAAGGTCATTTTTCAAAACCAGTGAATGTGCTCTTAAAATTTCTGTCTTTCTCTGGGTGTGGTGGTACATACCTGTAATACTAGCAAGAAGAGCACACATTCAAGGTCAGCCTCAGCAACTCAGTGAGGCTCTTTCTCAAAATAAAAAGGGCTGGGGATGGGGCTCAGAGGTAGAGCACCCTGGGTTCAATCCCCAGTGACCACACACACACACACACACACACACATACACATATACACACAGTTTTGTTTTTCTTTAAATCGGTGAATTTTATAGCAAAAAAAAAAAAAACCCAACAAACAAACAAACAAACAAAACCTCAAATATTTACATCTACTTTACTGCATTAAAAAAGATACATTAGGGCTGGGGTTGGGGTTGTGGCTCTGCGGTAGAGCGCTCAACTAGCACATGTGAAGCCCTGGTTTTGATCCTCCATATCACATATAAATAAACAAAATAAAAGTATCGTGTCCACCTACAATTTTTAAAAATGAAGAAAAAAATACATTAATGACTGGCTCAAGGGATGGGTAAATAGATCTGTGATAAAACAGATGTAGTAAAATGTTAATGGCAAAATCCAGATGATTTGGGGAATGTTCACTGCAAAATTCAATTTTACAGTATATTTTAAAATTAACTTAAAAATTTAATACTAAAATGTTGAAGAAAAATTAAAAGAACCCAGAGGGATATGTGGTAAAAAGTTAAGGGTCTTCACCCACCTTTATCTTTCCCCCTCCCTACAAGTAATTGCTATTAACAGTTTGGTAGAGATTCTTCCAAATCCTTTTCCTCTTGAATTTGCATATGTGTATGGTGAAATATACATAATAGCAACTTATGTAATATGTGAATAGTTTCATCTCACTTGTGCTCTGGTGAACCCTCCCCCTCCCCCTCTGCAAGTATACATCTGGCAGCTGCTGCTGCTGGTGTGTGTGTGTGTGTGTGTGTGTGTGTGTGTGTGTGTGTGTAAACTGCTGCATACTACATTTTGCTATTAAAAATGACTCTTTTTTGGTTTTGAACCAGGGATTGAACCCAGGGGCACTTAACCACTGAGTCACACCCCCAGCCCTTTTTATTTTTTGTTTTGAGATAGGGCCATGCTAAATTGCTCAGGGCCTTGCTAAATTGATGAGGCTGGCTTCAAACCTGAGGTCCTCCTGCCTCAGCCTCCAGAGCCATTGGCATTTCAGGCCAGTACCACTGGGCATGGCTAAAAATTACCCTTCAAATAGTTTGGGTCGATTAACCTACAAAAAGACTGTTTTCTGGGCTGGGGATATGACTTGGTTGGTAGAGTGCTTGCCTTGCATGCCCAAGGCTCTGGGTTTAATCCCCAGCACCACAAATAAAAGAGAGAAAGGATTGTTTTCTAATATGCATCATGGCCTGATTCTCTAGGCTCTTGCCAGCACTGGCTAGGAACAATCGTTTTCATCTTTGTCCATGTGATGGGTGAAGAATGACATTTTCCTGAAAGTTGGTAACATTGAGAGTCTCTTAATATTTTATTAATGAGGTATAATTTTTCTTTTGTATGTTGCCTTTTCATAATCTTTGCCTCCTTCTATACTGAATTTGACTTTTTCCAATTAATTCTTTATATATATTTGGATGCAATTCTCTGTTGGTTGTGTTCAAAATATGGAAATATCTCTATTTTATGCCTTCTCTTTATACTTTATAGTATTCTTTGATTAACACACAACACACACACACACACACACACACACACACATTAAACCAGGGATTGAACCTAAAGGCTCTTAACAAGGCCACATCCCCAGCCCTATTTTCTATTTTACTTAGAGACAGAGTCTCACTCAGTTGCTTAGGTCCTAGCTAAGTTGCAGAGGCTGGCTTTGAACTTGTGATCCTCCTCTTCAGCCTCCTCAGCTGCTATGATTACAGGTGTGTGCTACCACACCCAGATGATTAACATATTTTTTAACTTAAAAATATTTGAATATATAAGCCTTTGCATATGATTTGTACTGTTTTTCAATTTTTTTTTAGTTGTAGATGGATATAATACTTTTATTTTATTTATTTTTATATGGTGCTGAGAATTGAACCCAGTGTCTCACACATTGCTAGGCAAGCGCTCTACCACTGAACCACATCCCCAGCCCCGGATTTGCACTTTTAATGTTCTTTTTAAAGAAGTTATCTCCTATTACAAGATCATATTCTTTTCTATTATCTCCTATAAAGTTTCCCAGATGTTTTTTCTATGCAGATACATAGTCTGTACAATAAAAGTAGGATGACATCATGCATACTTCTTTATAATCTGTTGTTGTGTCATGTAGCAATATATTTGGACATCATTTCATTTGAATAAATGTTTCAGTAATGTTGTGGGTGGGGTTTCCCAGGAAACAGACTATGAGACAGAGATTTGTGCCCAGGAAGCGCATCAGGGAGTACATTCAGGATCAGCATGGGTGAGGGGAGGGAATGAAATAGGATTAGATAGAGAGGGGAAGTAAGGCAACTTTGAGTAGCAACAAAAATAACGACTTCAACTGGGTAATTTAGAGGGCCTGGCCACTTTGTCTTGAACTGGAGAAAGAAGGCTGGGCATTTATATTCCTGTGTAGTTAGATGTGTGCTGTCCCGGGATGAGGTGTGGGTGTCATTGGACCAGGCAGCTGACTTCAAGTGAGTACAATTCTCAGGGCTGGTGGGCAGTTGGAGACTCCCTGGTAGCCCTCCTGCTACGTGGGAGTCCTAAAGGGGGGAGGTGTGTCTGAGCAGCCCATCACAGAATCCACCCCAATGAGGGGCACTGTTGGCCCCAAAGAGCATAAAACCGTGACTTGTCCTAGCTTAATAAATAGAGGTTAGTCTCACCAGGTCCAGGGCTGGGGGATTGACTGCTGGCATCAATGGTATCTTTTCCTTTTTGGAGGAAAAGAACTTTTTCCCCAGTAGACTGAATTAATTTCATTGTCCATAACTAAAAGTCCACCCATAGGTGTAAGGGTTGCTGGGAATGTGGGATAAGGGTTGTCCTGGTTTTTTTTTTTTTTGGCTGGAATGTTGCTGCTCTGAACAAGATTCATAGTATAGAAGAGGTGAGTAAGGGATTTTAGTCATGCAAACACTAACAGAGTCTGCCACAAAATAGATTTTGGGACAGGGGGTACCAGGGATTGAACTCAGGGGCACTTGACCACTGAGCCCCATCCCCAGCCCTATTCTGTATTTTATTTAGTGACAGGTCTCACTGAGTTGCTTAGCACCTTGCCATTGCGAAGGCTGAATTGAACTCATGATCCTCCTGCCTCAGCCTCCTGAGCTGCTGAGATCACAGGCATGTGCCATTGTGCCCAGCTCCAAAATAGATTTCTTCAAAATTATTTCTAATAATTGTGTGTGGATTTTGCTAAAGCAGTCTCTATGTTGCTAGACATTTCGTGGTTTCCAGTGTTTTTCTCTTATCGTTTGTATTACAATAAATACCCTGATAATTTTTCTCTGCCCATATCCTCCATTATTTCTTCAAGACAAAATGCTATATATATCATTGTTAGGTAGAAGGAATGCACCTTTTAAAGAATTAACTTATTCATTTATTGAGGATTAAAACCAGGGGCACGTTACCACTGAGCCACATCCCCAGCCCTTTAAATTTTATTTATTTATTTTATTTTGAGACAGGGCGTCACAAAGTTATTTAGGGCCTCGCTAAATTGCTGAGACTGGCTTTGAACTTGCTGTCCTTCTGCCTCAACCTCCCTAGTCGCTGGGATTATAGGCATGAACCACTGCAGCCAGCCCTTTTAAAGAAATTTGATGTAGATTACCAAAGTAATCTTTGATGTATCTTGAAAAGGTGCTACCAATTTATGCTTTTCCTGAGCAGTAAACAAAGAGGCCTATCTTCCCTACATCCTTACCGACACTGGACTTTTATTTAACATTGTTAGTTTTCATCAGTTTTATATTCTTCAAAAGAGGAACTTATTTTCATTTTCATTTTTGTTTGTTTTTTATGGTGTTGGGGATGGAATTCAGGAACTGGAGCATGCCAGGCGAGTGCTCTACCACTGAGTTACATCCCCAATCCTCAACTTTTGGAATTGATTTTATTGGCTTCATTTGCTTTTTTTGTTTGTTTCTTTCTCCCTCTTTTTCATTGTAGTCTAAAAACCATGCTTTGAGCTGTTTTATCTTTTAGAATACAGCTTTTGAGATAGTCTGTAGAGTCTGTATTTTGCTCTTGTGCTGTGAGGGTTAATTATAGCAGGCCTGAGTTATTTTGCCAATCAAAGCATGAAATGTACTAATTAACAATGTTTCTTTTTAACCAGGGCCCAAGGAATTTCAGGACATTTTGGTCTCGGTTTGTTACACTTGTTCATTGATAACAATGAGACTGATGATATGAAGGTGGTCTTGGTGTTACATCCCCCCAAACCCCCCTTCCCCCCAGAGGGCTATGCTATGGAGTCTTGCCATGTTTAAGGACACAGGTAGGTACCTAAATGCAAATACTTAAATACATGTTCACAATTGGTATTCACAGTGGCAGCTACAGATCTATGCAAAAGTACTTTATTGCATGAATAATTATTTTATGGCCTATAAATTGTTCTCTGTATATCTAATAAGTGTCAGAAACATTTTTAAGATATCACTCTGGAAAGTAAAAGGAGAAAGAAATCATTTTGAGTATCCATTGAAATATGATCATTCATGAAATTGGAAATGTATTTCTTAGCTTTTCTAATGGTAAACATGTCAGTATTGTATGGCTTGGGAGGCTGAAGCAGGAGGATCTCCAGTTCAATGCCAGCCTCAGCAATTTAGTGAAGCCCTAAGCAACTCAGCAAGACCTTGTCTCTAAATAAAAAATAAAAATATAGGGCTGGGGATATAGCTCAGTTGGTAGATGCTTGCCTCACATGCACAGGGCCCTGAGTTCAATCCCTAGCAACACACCCAAAAAGGGGGGCGGGTGCTGGGAATGCGGCTCAGTGGTAAAGCATCCTGCTTTCAATCCCTAGTATGCCCCTCCCCAAAATTTATTGAATATATAGTTTATGAATAGACAGACCTCTAACTCCAGTTTAGATTTTCTTAGTAAAAAAAAGTGTTAACAGTTTTTATAATAGCCCCAAATAAACAAGCCATAGTGCTACAAATATGACAAAAAACTTAAATGTTTTGCTATCTCTAAATGCATGAATATATTGTACCAAATATTGCTAGAATAATTTTTATTGCATATTATATGATTCTTGTATAATCATTATAGTTTTTTGCACACATTATAGTCTTGCATGAAAGTAGTAAATATTTACTTGCTGAGAAAAAAAAATTCTGTAAGTCTCCATGCACTTCAGGTTAAATAAGTATATAGAAGAATAAATTATAATAGTCAAAAATGGTATTAAAATACAGTTTTTAAGGGCTGGGGTTGTGGCTCAGTGACAGAGGACTTTTCTTGCAGGTGTGAGGCACTGGATTCGATCCTCAGCACATGTAAAAATAAATAAATTAAAAATAAAGGTATTAGGTCCATTTACAACTAAAAACATTTAAAAATATATAGCTTTTAAAATAACAAGTTATCATTGAAATACGTATTCAGAAAGCAAATTAACTTAGTGCTAAAACATGATGGGGAAGTATATGGCCACTACAAGAATATACTTACATGTATCTGTCAAAATAGTAAAGATTAACCCAGCGCATGGGCTGGGGTTGTGGCTCAGCGGTAAAGCACTCACCTAGCATGTGTGAGGCCCTGGGTTCAATCCTCAGCACCACATAAATATAAATGAATAAAATAAAGATATTGTGTCCAACTACAACTAAAAAATAAATATTAAGAAAAAGAATTTTAAAAAGATTAAACCATCATTGTAATGTTTTGAGCAACTAATAAAAATTTTAAAAAAGAAAAATAAAAATGTTTATTAAACTTAAAAAAAAAAGATTAATCCAATGCAAATCAACACAGAGAACATGAAATGTCAAATGTCTACTCTCTATGGAGTAGATAGAAATGTAATATGGTGTCATTCTTTTGAGAACCAATTTATCATCTATAAACATAGCATAAAAAAGGATTGTACCTTTGACTTAATAAATCTGTAGCTTTACATCAAATAGTCCAAGAAAATGATCCTACATCCAGAAAATTTTTATACACAAACATATTTATGCAGTATCATTTTAACCATGAAAATTATAAGCAACTTAGACATTCGAAACTTAGAGAATTAATAAATGACGAGGCCCTAATAAATAAATAAATAAATAAATAATGAGGCCCTTAAACCATTTTTTTTTTCATTGTATCTAGCACTTTATCCTCCACATTTTCCCACACATGGGTCAAAAGTAAACCTCATGTCAATCCTTAAACCATTTTTTAAACTATAGCATGGCTGTATAATTAGAGTTTAATCAAGCTGTAAATTGGGATAAGGAATCTCCCTGAATGTTGCTATTCGAATATGATGTTAACTGAGTAAAGCAAAGTATGGAGAAATTGTATAGTAAGTTAGCTTTTGAGACTATAAATATATACATATTTTCTGATATTTTTCAAAACAAAATAATGGCATGATAAAGTACAACCTATAATAAGAGCAGTTTCCTCAACGTGGAGGTAGGCTATGTGGAACACGGAAAGATGGAAGGTAGATCTCTCTGAATGTATCTTGTATCATCCATTTTATTTTGTTTGGTTTTGTGTAAAAGATAGCCCCCAAGAACTGCCACCTCCTGGTAGGTACACCCCTGTGACATTGTACCAGAGTTGGGCTGCATGAATTTAGCAGAAGCAATGGTGTATAACTTCCAAGATTAGGTTCTAAGAAGCAGTGTGGCTTTCTTTTTACTTTCTGTGTCTGATCTCTTGTTTTAGGGGAAACTCTTTGCTCTGTTGGGTGGTTTCACATGGTGAGAATCAAAGGCCCAACAAGAGCCATGTGAGAGAGCCATCTTGGAAGCAGATCCTCCAGCCACCTTGGAGCCTTGAGATTACAGTTCCAGCTGACATCTTGCCTGCATTTCATGAAAGACCCTGAACCCAAAGCAGCCAGCAACACTGCTCCCAATTCCTGACCCTCAGAAACTGTGAGATAATATCTGTTGTTATTTTAACCTAAAATGTTTGTTGGACAGCTTGATAGCTAGCAATACATCATGAATACACGTTAGAACTGTAAAATTGTTTTTTAATCATTTAAAAACTGAATATAATAAAAAAAGACAAAAAGGTCGTTTTTAAACACTAAAGACAAACTGAAACAAATGAGCCTAACTATCATGTTGGTGACAAAACTAAAAACAATAATTATTTCAAGTGACTTGGAAACACAGTATTTTTACTGTATATCCCTAGTGGGCTGGATGTTAAGGACAAAAATAACTGTAAATAAATCTTAAATGGCATTCAGCCATCTAATTGTTACTAAGAATATTGGTATCATTATCCTGAAACTTTTCTATCTGCGTAGTGGAATGCAGCAAATAGGTCATTATGTTAATATCATTAAGAACCAAGATTTTACACATGAGAGAAGAGAGACACACAAAATCAAAGAAATTAAGTGGAAGCCCTTTAATCTTTAGATTGGAAGTAGCAGTATTTATTCATAATTTATTTTTCTTTTTCTAAAATAATGGCTGTCTTAGTTGTATGCGTTGAAAAAAAAACCTGTAAGAAATTATAACATAATAGCAATAAATGCATGGCATTCAGCTTGTGGTATTTAAAAATGATTTCAAACAAATATGTAGAACTCCTTAGGGAAATGGTTAATTTCAGTTCTGAGGCTGGAAATCTTAAAGCAATATTGGATTTTTCTAGAAATTAAGGACTTCAGGGGTCATATTAAAGAACTAAGGAGGAGCTGGGGGTATAGTTGAGTAGTAGAGCACTTGCTTAGCCTGTACCTGGCCCTGGGATTAATCCCCACCTCACCACCAACAACAAAAGACTAAAGAACCAACTTTTTTTCTTTTTTTGTTTTTTTTGGTACTGGGGATTGAACCCAGGGGCGCTTAACTATTGAGCCTCATCCTCAGCCCATTTTTATATTTGATTTAGAGACAGGGTCTCACTGAGTTGCTTAGGGCCTCACTAAGTTGCTGAGGCTGCCTTTGAACTCAGGATCCTCCTGTCTCGGCCTCCTGAGTCATCACACCTGGCAAGAAGCAATTTTCTAAGTGGCTCTTACTGACTTAAGACAGGACAATTTGAGCATCAAAAAATATAATGAGGGCTGGGGTTGTGGCTCAGTGGTACAGCGCTTGCCTTGCATATGTGAAGTGCTGGATTTGATCCTCAGCACCATGTATAAATAAATAAAATGAAGGTCCATCAACAACTAAAATTATATATATATAAAACTATAATGACCGCAAGTACTATATACATTTGTACATCAGATATTTTTAAAGCTGCATGAGTTCAAAATGATAATAAAAAGTAAATAAAACCTCACTGGTCATTTTTGGGAAGCTGCTATTGGTGAATAAAGAAAAATAATCCATCATTATTTTGCCTTTCCTGTGCAAACTATATTTTAGAGCATCTAGAATTGATGAGCAAGTTGTTTATTATAAAAGGATTCAAACTCAGGAAGAACGAAAGAATTAGAAAGTCACCAGTTCATGAAGAAATAGTCTGGGTTATGGGTAAGCTTTATATTTTGATCTAAGTGATAGTTACCTGGTTGTATAATATGCAAATATTCCTTAAGCTTTTTACTTGGCATTTGTGCATCTTATTGTAGATAAAATATACCTTTATAATTGACCTCAATTTAAAATTTATACTATTTATTTATTTATTGAGGTACTGAGGGTGGAACCCAGGACCTCCCACATGCTGGGGAATTACTCTACCATTGAGCTACACCCCCCACCCTATTCCTCAGTTTACAAAACTAACCATTGTACATTCCAGTGAGGTATAATGGTGCCTTCCAGTAAGGAATTACATAGCACTCTATGAAATATCCCTGCCCAGAAGTTGAACCTGTAGCCAGGTGCAGTGGCATGCCTATAATCCCAGCAGCTCGGGAGGCTGAGGCAGGAGGATCGTGAGTTCAAAGCCAGCCTCAGCAAAAGTAAGGCGCTAAGCCACTCGGTGAGACCCTGTCTCTAAATAAAATACCAAATAGGACTGGGGCTGAGGCTCAGTGGTTGAGTGCCCCTGGGTTCAACCCCTGGTACCAAAAAAAAAAAAAAAAAAAGAAGTTGAACCTGAATCTAATCCAGCCTCCAATGTAGCTACCAGCTTACAGGAAAGAAAGAGGTGAGAGGAACATGTAAAATGATACCAACAGGATACAACCAGATGAATTTAGAATAGGGGACATCTATAGGATAAATGACCTGATTTCTTGAGTAAATCAATGACATTCAAGAAAAGAGGAAGGAGAAGGAAGTTGTCATGGTCTGGTTTGTGGTGCTACCACAAAATATGATAGACTGGGTAATGTATAATGAGTGGAAATTTCTTTCTCATAGTTCTGGAGACTGGGATGTCCAAGTTCAAGACACAAGCACAAGGAATCCATTCTGGAGATAATCAGCTTATTCTCGTGATAATGACAAAGTGTGGTTGCGCATGCTTATAGTCCTGGCCATGGGATTGGGGGTCATTTGAGCTCTTGAGTTCTTTATGTGCTTGTTTTTTGTTACTGGAGATTGAATCCAGAGGTGTTTTACCACTCAGCTCCATCCCCAGGCCTTTTGATTTTTTAAATTTTGAGACAAGTTCTCACTAAATTGTTGAGGCTGGCCTTAAACTTGTGATCCTCCTGCCTCAGCTTCTGGAGTTGCTGGGATTACTGACAGGTGCCACCTCACCTGGTTTGAGCTCAAGAGTTCAAGACCAACCTGGGCACCACAGTGAGACTCTGTCTTAAAAAGATAACCATATTAAGCAAAAGAATACACGAACATAGTTTGGGTCCTAATTCTCATACACCAACTGTAAAAAGCCATTTACCAGACAATCAGGAAAATTTGAACACAGACTGGGAATTAGATGATATTAGTCTTAATTTTCTGGGTATGGTCATGGTATTGTGTTTTTAAGTCTGTGTCTGTTAAATACGTATGTATTTATAAGTGAAATCATGTGATTTGCTTTAAAGGGGATGAAGCAAGAAAGGCAAAGTAGTAATAATTGTTGAAGTTGAGTGGTGGATATGACTCACTAAATTATTTTCTTCATTTTTGGGTATGCTATTAAGTTATTAGGTTATTGAGCTTCAATCCATCCTTCCAAGACTCTACTTTGGTGGAGGTGGAGGTTGGGGATGAATCCAGGGCCTTGAGCAAGGTAGGTAAGTGTTCTACCTCTGAACTGCATCCCCAGCCCTATGCTTCACTTTGTTTTTGTTTTTTTTTTTTAAGAGATTCCTTTATTTTTTTAACATGGGCCTCTATTTTGTCTATTTATTTATACGCAGTGCTGAGAATCAAACCCAGTGCGTCACATATGCCAGGCAACCGCTCTGCCACTGAGCCACAACCCAAGCTCCAATGAGGTTTTGTTTTGTTTTTTTTGTGGTGCTGGGGATCGAACCCAGCGTCTTGTGCATGCGAGGCAAGCACTCTACCAACTGACCTATATCCCTAGCCCTTTTTCTTTTTTTGGTACTGGGTATTAAACTCAGGGACACTCAACCACTGAGCTCCATCCCCAGCCCTATTTAGTATTTTATTTAGAGACAGGGTCTCACTGAGTGGCTTAGCGCCTTGCCATTGCTGAGGCTGGCTTTGAGCTTGCGATCCTCCTGCCTCAGCCTCCTGAGCCACTGGGATCACCCTATGCTTTACTTTGTGATTCTGGGGATGGCATTTCTGCTTTGCCAGTAGCTCCCTGCTAGGCTCCCACTCTAGGGGGCACTAGAGGGAGATTGCAGGGCTAGAGGGGGAGGAAGGAGCTTAAACCCCTTCCTGATTGTCTTCCTTCCTGTTGACTTCCTGTTCCTCTCAGCTTCCTCCAGGAACATTTTCTATCCTGCCTTAGCAGGCCTTCCCTGGGTCTCCAGCTGAATCCAGTCTGCAAGTTATCCAGCCTTCCTGGAACCAGCCTCAGGGGCCTCCCTTGTGGAAGAGCAGCATGAGGTGAGCAGCAGCCCTCCCCAGGGCCCACTCTCAGCCCCCTGGGGCCCCTCCTCCAAGCTTCTACATTGTCAGACTTCCATCTTCTTTGCTTTGGTCCCCCACTTCTGGAGTGGCAGTTGCTTCTTGTAGTTCCTAACTCCATGACACCTTGGAGTTCTCTTCTTGCCATTTGAGTTACTTAAAATAATTAGCCTGTCTCCTGCTTTAAGCCTCTGACTGATACATACACAGATTGCCATCAGTCATTGGTGAGGACTGTTTTCAAGGGGCATTAATCCCCCTGAGATTGCACGTCTGGTCTGTCACATGGGTGGCAATGGCAAGTGTAACAGCAAAGTGGGTTCCAGTGGCAAGAGAAAGCCCTCAGGCAAAGCAATGCAGGAGCTCACAATTGGAAGTTGGGCCAGTGGGTGCTAAATTGATTAGGGAGTGGGACAATGCCAAATGGCCTTTATAAACTATTTCTGATTATACGAGCATTCATTATCGGTGCACCTGTGTGTGTGTTGCTGGGGATTGAACCCAGGGGCACTTTACCACTGAGCTACATCCCCAGCTGTTTTAATTTTTTCTTTTGAGACTGTGTCTCACTAAGTTGCTGAGGCTAGCCTTGATCTTGTGATCATCCTGCCTCAGCCTCCCGAGTTCCTGGAATGACAGGCAGGTCCCACTTCATTTTTGTTTTTAATATTTATTTTTCAGTTTTCGGTGGACACAACATCTTTGTTTTATTTTATGTGGTGCTGAGGATCGAACCCGGGCCGCACGCATGCCAGGCGAGCGCGCTACCGCTTGAGCCACATCCCCAGCCCCCCAACTTCATTATTTTCAAAAGACACTTTATGATTAAAGATGAGGCTGCAGTCCTCCCCATCGCCATTGACAATCCTGTTTCCCTTCTTCTCATTCCTTCTCAGATGCAATCTATTATCAATTTACCTTTACATGTGCTTTTATACATATAAATGCTCATTGAAATCTATAATGTCTTGTTTTGTAGGTTTTTGGATTTCCTGGCATGTGTATTTTTTGTTGTTGTTGTTGTTTGCAATTTGCTTTATTCACTAAATAATTTGCCTTGGAAGTCATGCCATATTATGATTCGGAGATGATTCTTTTTCTTTTGTACGGAGGATTGAACAACTGAGGGATACTGGCGCACTGCGCCACATCCCCAGGCCTATTTTGTATTTTATTTAGAGACAGGGTCTCACTGAGTTGCTTAGCACCTCGCAATCACTGAGGCTGGCTTTGAACTTTCGATCCTCCTGTCTCAGCCTCCTGAGCTGCTGGGATTACAGGCATGCACCATTGCACCCTGCTGAATCTTTTTAACTTCCGCGTAATATTTCCTAGTACGCATATGCCATGTTTTTCCTCACTGAAACCCTGTATTCACTATGACAAAAGGTCTATGATTAATATCTGTGTCCCTGTGTCTATGTACTTGTTTAGGAGTCTTTCTCTAGGGTAGATAGATATAGAGTAGTAAAACTTATAGGTCAGAGAAAAATGTGTATTTTAAAATTTACATTGAATGTGAAATGAGTGTTCTCTGAAGCACAGTTTCAATTTCCAAGTGTGCTGGGAGGGCCCGCGTGCCCTTATTTCTATGGTTGCTTTAGCCTACATTTTCCAAGTGGCACTTCTCTAGGCTCCTTTAGCAGCAGATAACACAGGGGAAAAGCTGTTCATCTCCATCACTCCCTAGACCCCCCCAAGTACCTTCTGTATCCTGTTGTGGCAGGGGGTGGGGCACCAGCGCAGGGCCAGTGTAATCTCTCAGGAGAAACCAGCGCCAGAATGGAGCCATCATAGTGACAGCTGAGAGTAGAGTCTCTGAGACTGTTGGAATGCACTTTTTTTTCTGAGTATGTGAGACAACCCCTAGCAACTCCT